AAACATTTAACAAATGCCATTAAATTCTTGCTTTGCTTGGGAAAGTGGGTTAGAATTTGGAAGAAGTAAATAGCAAAGACTCAAGGCTTTAAACCTTGTTTAATGAAATCACTTAGGAATAAGTGGGTTTTATTTGGCATAAATTGATTGTTCTTAATTGCAACTCATTTACATTTGGAAAAATTATAAAGAGGAAATACTACCCAACTATCGGGAAATATTGGGTAGTCATTTAGACATCATTTGCATATCAAAAGGACCTTCCATTAGAGATATATCATATTTACACCAATAGCATTACACTTCATTAAAGGGGACACAACCTTGGTTACTTTAATCCAATTAGTCACACTCTTAATATTCCAAATAGTTGTTATTTTGAAACAAACTCAATCCATACTCTTGTTACTATTAATTCACACTCTTGTTACCGTTAACTGAATAGAATTACGACTTAATCGAGCAACACACTAATCGAGTAACCTTTTCACACCTATTCCCTGTGGGATTCGACCCCAACCTTGTTGGGTTACTATATTTGACATCGACCGCCTTACACTATTTCTTAAAGTGTAATTTGAGCGTATCAAATTTTGGCGCCGTTGCCGGGGAATACGGTTTTGAAATTACTATTTAGTGTGTGCTTTACTTTATGTCTTATTCTATTCCATCACTCTTCGCTTGCTTTGCTTGGTGTTGATAGGAAAACATGTCTGACTAAGAGGAAGAAGTGGAAGAAAATCCTTTTGCGGACATAGATGAGTACATTGACGATACCAATGCTATGGTACCTCCGGCGATTGGTGCCTCAACTTTCAAAGTGGAACATGGTCTAATCCTCATGCTTAAAGCAGAGGGGTTTTTCAGGAATTCTACTGATGATGATCCAACACAACACCTTAGGAACTTTTTGGGAGTATGTGCTATGCATAAGCAGAACAATGTCTCAGATGATGCCCTAAGGTTGAGGGTCTTCAAGTACTCACTAGCTGGGGACGCAAGGAGGTGGCTTCAAAACTTGCCACCGAATTCCATTCGGTCTTGGCCTGAACTTGTCCGAGCATTTCTAGCAAAATGGTTCCCACAGAGCAAGAAGTCTGAGCTTCGAGATAAGATTTTCTTCTTCAAGCAACAACCAGGGGAACACTTACATGAGGCATGGGATCGATTCAAATTATATTTGGTGAGGTCTCCAAATCATGGTCCAGATTCCATCTTGCTAGAGAAATTTTATATGGGTTTAGATCCTATGAACCAAGCTATAGCGAAGAATGCGGCGGACAGATCTTTTATGGACAAGTCATTTGTAAGAGTTACGCAAATACTTGACAAGATGGCAAAACACAATCAAGCTTGGCATTCTGAGGATACTTCGGGCGGAGTTGCATATGGTTCTCCTTCCTTGACCATCTTGATCAAGGAGAATCAAGAGAGGGACCAAATAATTGCAGGGTTGGCCACAAATGTAAATGTGTTGACAAAAATGTTCACGGAAAATCAAACAAAAAAGGTGAATGTAGTCGAGGAAGTGCAACCCATTTCCAATGAAAAGTTTGAGGAAGCTAACTACATCAACAACCCTCAAAGAGGGTATCAAAGACAACATTATCAGGGTCAAGGGCAACAAAGTCAATGGAGGCCAAACCCGCAAGGGCAAGGCAACCAACAATGGAGACATGACCAAGGTGGCTCAAACCAAGGGAATTGGAATAACAACAACAACTTTTCTAACCGGAGTTCAAACCCCTATGTTCCTCCAAAGGGTAAATATACGAACCAAGGGTCTTCTAGTGAATCTAAGTTGGAAGCTATGCTTGAGCGAGTGTTGCAAAATCAAGAAAAATCCGATGCTTCCATGAGGAACATGACCTAGGTTGTTGGATCTCATACCACCTCCATCCAAAAATTGGAGATGCAAATGAGAGACCTCTCCAAAGAGCAAAATCCAAAACAAAAGGGAACACTCCCTAGTGACACGGTTGCAAATCCAAGAGGTAGTGGGAGTGGCCCAACTTCTCACATCATGGCGATCACTACTAGGAGTGGAAAGTGCTACACGGAGAGGGTGAACAAACGGTTGAAGAAGAAGAGTCCGAACAAAGGGTTGAGGTTGAAGAGCCAAGTGTTGTCGAGGTTGAAAACATTCCGGAGGAGTTGAAAATGCAAATAGAAAACCGGGAAGAGGTGAAGGAAAAAGTGAAAGAGACACCAAAAGCTCTTCCACCTATTCCTAGACCTCCTCCCCCATTTCCTCAAAGGCTCGCAAGAAAGATTGATGATAGCAAACTTGAAAAATTCTAGGACATCCTCAAGCAATTAACGGTGAATATTCCTTTTGTGGAAGCTTTTCAAGAGATGCCGGGGTTTGCTAAATATTTGAAGGATTTGATCACCAAGAAGAGGACCACAAAGAATGAGGTGGTAAACATGACTCACCGGGTTAGCTCTATTATTGCCACAACCCTTGTCCAAAAGAAAGAGGACCCGGGAGCCTTTACTATTCCATGCACTATCGTGGCACGTGAATTTGCAAGAGCCATTTGTGACAATGGGGCTAGCATCAACTTGATGCCACTTGCCATTTATAATCAAGAGGGATTAGGCATGCCAAGGCCAACAAGCATGAGATTACAAATGGCCGATCGTTCCATTAAGCGACCGGTAGGAATTGTTGATGATGTGATTGTGAAAGTTGGAGAATTCCATTTGCCNATGAGTAGCTAACTTTAAATACTAAGGTTGTGGACCCTAAATGGGTGTTATGTTAATGGGTGTTTAACATTGAATATATATATAATGGTTGGTTGATATCTATTTATTTCTCATTCTTCATTTATTGTTGGTGGTTGCAAACATTAACAAATGCCATTAAATTCTTGCTTTGCTTGGGAAAGTGGGTTAGAATTTGGAAGAAGTAAATATCAAAGACTCAAGGCTTTAAACCTTGTTTAATTAAATCGCTTAGGAATAAGTGGGTTTTATTTGGCATAAATTGATTGTTCTTAATTGCAACTCTTTTACATTTGGAAAAATTATAAAGAGGAAATACTACCCAACTATTGGGAAATATTGGGTAGTCATTTAGACATCATTTGCATATCAAAAGGACCTTCCATTAGAGATATATCATATTTACACCAATAGCATTACACTTCATTAAAGGGGACACAACCTTGGTTTCTTTAATCCAATTATTTACACTCTTAATATTCCAATTAGTTGTTATTTTAAAACAAACTCAATCCATACTCCTGTTACCGTTAACTGAGTAGAATTACGACTTTAGTCGAGCAACACACTATTCGAGTAACCTTTTCACACCTATTCCCTGTGGGATTCGACCCCAACCTTGTTGGGTTACTATATTTGGCAACGACCGCCTTACACAATTTCTTAAAGTGTAATTTGAGCGTATCAAATTTTGGCGCCATTGCCCGGGAATACGGTTTTGAAATTACTAATTAGTGTGTGCTTTACTTTACGTCTTATTCTATTCCATCACTCTTCGCTTGCTTTGCTTGGTGTTGATAGGAAAACATGTCTGACTACGAGGAAGAAGTGGATGAAAATCCTTTTGCGGACATAGATGAGTATATTGACGATGCAAATGTTATTGTACCTCCGGCTGTTGGTGCCTCAACTTTCAAAGTGGAACATGGTCTAATCCTAATGCTCAAAGCGGAAGGGTTTTTCAGGAATTCTACTGATGATGATCCAACACAACATCTTAGGAATTTCTTGGGAGTGTGTGCTATGCATAAGCAGAACAATGTCTCAGATGATGCCGTAAGGTTGAGGGTCTTCAAGTACTCACTAGCTGGAGACGCAAGGAAGTGGCTTCAAAACTTGCCACCAAATTCCATCCGGTCTTGGCCTGAACTTGTCCGGGCATTTCTAGCAAAGTGGTTACCACAGAGCAAGAAGTCCGAGCTTCGAGACAAGATTTTCTTCTTCAAGCAACAACCAGGGGAACACTTACATGAGGCATGGGATCGATTCAAATTATATTTGGTGAGGTCTCCCAATCATGGTTTTCCAGACTCCATCTTGCTAGAGAAATTTTATATGGGTTTGGATCCTATGAACCAAGCTATAGCGAAGAATGCGGCGGACGGATCTTTTATGGACAAGTCATTTGCAAGAGTTACGCAAATACTTGACAAGATGGCAAAACACAATCAAGGCATTCTGAGGATACTTCAAGCGAAATTGCATATGGTTCTCCTTCCTTGACCAACTTGATCAAGGAGAATCAAGAGAGGGACCAAATAATTGCAGGGTTGGCCACAAATGTAAATGTGTTGACAAAAATGCTCACGGAAAATCAAACAAAAAAATGTGAATGTAGTTGAGGATGTGCAACCTATCTCCAATGAAGAGTTTGAAAAAGCTAATTACATCAACAATACTCAAGGAGGGTATCAACGACAACATTATCAGGGTCAGGGGCAGCAAAGTCAATGGAGGCCAAACCCGCAAGGGCAAGGCAACCAACAATGGAGACATGACCAAGGTGGCTCAAAGCAAGGGAATTGGAATAACAACAACAACTTTTCTAACCGGAGTTCAAACCCCTATGTTCCTCCAAAGGGTCAATATTCGAACCAAGGGTCTTCTAGTGAATCTAAGTTGGAAGCTATGCTTGAGCGAGTGTTGCAAAATTAAGAAAAATCCGATGCTTCCGTGAGGAACATGACCGAGGTTGTTGGATCTCATACCGCCTCCATCCAAAAATTGGAGATGCAAATGAGAGACCTCTCCAAAGAGCAAAATCCAAAACAAAAGGGAACACTCCCTAGTGACACGGTTGCAAATCCAAGAGGTAGTGGGAGTGGCCCAACTTCTCACATCATGGCGATCACTACTAGGAGTGGGAAAGTGCTACACGGAGAGGGTGAACAAACGGTTGAAGAAGAAGAGTCCGAACAAAGGGTTGAGGTTGAAGAGCCAAGTGTTGTCGAGGTTGAAAAGATTCCGGAGGAGTTGAAAGTGCAAAAAGAGAACCGGGAAGAGGTGAAGGAAAAAGTGAAAGAGACACCAAAAGCTCTTCCACCTATTCCTAGACCTCCTCCCCCATTTCCTCAAAGGCTCGCGAGAAAGATTGATAATAGCAAACTTGAAAAATTCTACGACATTCTCAAGCAATTAACGGTGAATATTCCATTTGTGGAAGCTTTTCAAGAGATGCCGGGGTTTGCTAAATATTTAAAGGATTTGATCACCAAAAAGAAGACCACAAAGAATGAGGTAGTAAACATGACTCACCGGGTTAGCTCTATTATTGCCACAACCAAAGTCCAAAAGAAAGAAGACCCGGGAGCTTTCACCATTCCTTGCACCATCGGGGCCCGTGATTTTGCAAGAGCTTTATGTGATAATGGGGCTAGCATCAACTTAATGCCTCTTGCCATCTATAAGCAAGCAGGGTTGGGTATGCCAAGGCCCACTAGTATGAGATTGCAAATGGCCGATTGGTCAATCAAACGCCCGGTGGGAATTGTTGACGATGTACTTGTAAAAGTGGGGAAGTTTCATTTGCCCGCCGATTTTGTAATTTTTGATTGTGCGGTTGACAAAGAAATCCCTATCATTTTGGGGAGACGGGAAGGGCACTCATGGATTCGGAGCGGAATGAAATTAAATTCCGGGTGAATGATGAAGAAGTCACATTTCAAGCGAGCAAGGGTATGAAACTACCCCATGAGTATGAGAGAATTTCAGTGATAGATGTTGTTGATGAGGTAGAAGGTGCCGTCGAAATGAAAATGGAAGAACAATGCCTTGGTGAGGCATTGGCGGCTATCTTGGTTAACTTTGATGGTGAAGACATGGATGGGTACATGGAGTCGGTAAATGCATTGGAGGGTCTTGGATCCTACACTTATACTCCGGCAAAGCTTTCTCTTGACTTGGAGAATAGGGCTACACCTCCCGCCAAGCCATCAATCATTGAGCCACCACAACTAGAGCTCAAGCCACTCCCCCCGCACCTAAGGTATAAATTTCTTGGCTCTAATGATACTTTACCCGTAATTGTTTCGTCTTTGCTAAATGATGTGCAGGTAGAGCAATTGTTGGAAGTCTTGAAGGAGCATAGGCAAGCCATTGGATGGACAATTGCGGACATCCGAGGGATTCCCGCGGGAATTTGTGAACACAAGATCCAATTGGAGAGTGACACGAAGCCAAGTGTGGAGCATCAACGACGGTTGAACCCGTCAATGCAAGAGGTGGTAAAGAAAGAAATCATCAAGTGGTTGGATGCCGGGGTGGTCTACCCTATTGCCGATAGTTCTTGGGTGAGCCCGGTGCAATGTGTACCGAAAAGGGAGGCATGACCGCAATTGAAAATGATAAAAATGAGCTCATCCCAACAAGAACGGTGACCGGTTGGAGGGTGTGCATGGATTACCGGAAGCTCAATAGTGCAACATGCAAAGACCATTTCCCTATGCCTTTTATTGATCAAATGCTTGATCGGCTAGCGGGAAGGTCATTCTATTGTTTCCTTGACGGGTATTCCGGCTACAACCAAATCAACATCGCATTGGAGGATCAAGAGAAAACAACATTCACTTGTCCCTATGGAACTTTTGCCTTTAGTCGGATGCCATTTGGTTTGTGCAATGCTCCGGCTACTTTTCAAAGGTGCATGATGTCCATTTTCTCCGACATGGTGGAGGATTTTCTAGAGGTCTTCATGGATGACTTCTCGGTAGTAGGTGACTCTTTTGAGCATTGTCTTAACAATCTTAGACAAGTGCTTAAGAGATGTGAGGAAACCAACCTTGTGTTAAATTGGGAGAAATGCCACTTCATGGTGGAGGAAGGCATCGTATTGGGGCATAAAATTTCAAAGCATGGCATTGAGGTTGACCGGGCTAAGATCGAGATTATTTCCAAGCTTCCTACTTCCGTAAAAGGTGTTCGAAGTTTCTTAGGGCATGCCGGATTTTATAGGCGGTTCATCAAGGATTTTTCCAAAATTGCAAACCCTATGTGCAAGCTCCTTGAGAAAGACACCAAATATGTGTTTGATGAAAAATGCCTCAAAGCTTTTGAGGAATTGAAGCTAAGGCTCACCACGGCACCTATTATCGTCACACCCGATTGGTCTCTTCCTTTCGAACTCATGTGTGACGCTAGTGGTGTAGCTATTGGAGCAATGCTTGGTCAACGTCACAACAAGGTTCTCCACCCGGTATATTATGCAAGCAAGACACTCAATGGGGCGCAATGAATTACACGGTGACTGAACAAGAGCTTCTTGCCATTATTTATGCCTTTGAGAAGTTCCGGGCTTATTTGTTGGGATCCAAGGTGATAGTGTACACGGATCATGCTGCTCTTCGCTATCTTATGGCAAAGAAGGATGCAAAGCCGCGGTTAATTCGATGGGTTTTATTGTTGCAAGAGTTTGACTTCGAGGTCAAGGATCGCAAGGGAACTCAAAATCAAGTGGCGGATCACTTATCAAGGCTTGAGGAAGCAGGGAGACCAAAGGAAGATCTTGAAATCAATGATGCATTCCCGGATGAACATATCCTGGCACTATCTAGCACTTTTGCTCCATGGTATGCCGACATTGCTAACTATTTGGTGAGTGATCTTATCCCGGAGGGGTTGGAGTCTTATCAAAAGAAGAAGTTCTTGCGAGATTGTCGGCAATATTATTGGGAAGAGCCATACTTGTTNNNNACCACATATGTTACTACCACGGTTATTCCGAGCACATCAATTCCCATTTCCTTCCATTACTTGTTTCACAGTTCTTACCATATAGCACATTCACAATCGCAAACTTGGTTTATTTCTAATTACTTGCATCAATATAGCGAAGGCACAACCACAATCACTCAACCATACCAATCACAGGAATTTCACAAACAAATCACGTAGAAATCACATACCAAGCACTCAACCAGCCAAACAAGACGATTTTACAAGTTCAAAGTTAGCCATACATACCAGGAGCCGAAATCCCTTTTAACTTCTATTTCCAATTCACCAAATGGTCTAGCAACGTCAATCTAGTGCACAAGTTAACGCGTATGACTTAGAAAAGAAGTTCACAATTTCTACTCAAACTTATTTAGGTTATCAACCCATCTTTTACTCCTACCCAATTACTCTCACTAGGTTTTAGGTTATAGAATGACATGCATGTATGAGTTCAACCACTATTTTTAAAGACCAATGCATGAGACTCCCCCCCTTAGTTTAAACCAGAAATTCAGTGTAAATTTAGGGATGTTACCTGCAAGAAAAGGGGGATGAAGATAAGCTTGAAATTTCCCGGCCCGGATGGTTTTGAATAATCAAATTTTGGAGAAGATGACTTTCTCTCTCAAGACCCTCTCTTTCTCTCTCTTATTTTGTGCAAAAGATCGTTAAAAATGAGGGGCTGGGGGTGTTTTATTAAAAAGGGGGTCGTGTATAAAATTTAGAAAATAGAAGCCAGAGCAAGATCTGCGGTCGCATTCCGCGATCGCAGAACTGGAATGCGGTCCGCAGATTGGACCGCAGAATTGCCCCCAAAACTCTGATGATTCTGTTTGGGTCTGCGACAGGAATGCGGTCCGCATTCGTGTTATGCGGTCGCATTGTGCACCGCAGAACTGACCTTCACAAATCCTTGAGGAACTTATGCGACGATTATGCGGTCCGCATTTTGGTTATGCGATCGCATAATAGACCGCATTTTCAACATTAATTTTGACAACTCTTCTGTTTCACTCTACGGTAGGAATGCGGTCCGCATACTAGATCTGCGACCGCATTCTGGGCCGCAGAATGACATTTTCTGGACAAATTGATTCTTTTTATTTTTACAAGCTTAGATCAATACCAAGGGTCCGAACCGCGGCGAGCTTTCTCGCCGTGAAGAATTCTATGCATTCCTAACACATATTCGGAGTCGACACCACAAGATACTAGGTTTTGAGCCAAAAAATTTACGGGGCGTCACACCTGTAGAATTGGAAGACAAAGCCATGTGGGCTCTAAAAAGGTTGAACTTGGATTGGGGTGAAGCTGCACATTTGAGGTTGACACAACTCAATGAAATGGAGGAATTCCGGTTCCATGCATATGAAAGTGCAGCTGTGTATAAGGAAAGGATGAAGTTCGCCCATGACAAGAAGATCTTGAAAAGGGAGTTTAAGTCAGGTGACTTGGTGTTGCTCTTTAACTCCAGGCTCAAATTGTTTCCAGGCAAGCTTAAATCCAAATGGTACGGTCCGTTCAAAGTGGTAAGTGTCTCTCCTTATGGAGCTGTGGAATTGGCATCGGAAGATGGGTCCCGGACATTCAAGGTAAATTGCCAACGCATCAAGCATTACCTGGGCACAGATGGAGAAAAACATGTGGTGGATCAGCTGGCTCTAAAAGATGGCACGTGTCCGACCATTGAGTGAATCCAAAGGAACATCAACTTCGTCGTGCCGCGACGTTAAATCAAGCGCTTCATGGGAGGCAACCCATGTGTGGTAACACTCTTTTGTTCTTTGAATTTTTAAATTTTGATAGATAGATTTTATTGAGCAATTTAAAGTGTGTATTAGAGTGCAGGAGGGTCAAAAGATCACAACACGTGATGGGAATGCATGATAAAGGTAAGAAAAATCGCAGTGTGAAGTCTGCTGCAAAGATGCGGTCGCATTTTAACTATGCGGACCGCATTTTGATCGCAGACCCAAACAGTGGGTTTGGCCAAAATTGGATGTCAGAATGCGATGTGATTGTGCACTATGCGGACCACATTTCACTTATGCGACCGCTTTTTGCACCGCAATTCTGACTCTCCATCATCCCAAAAGATCCCACCGCATAGCACATATGCGGTCGCATAGTGTGCTATGCGGTGCCCTACCTACCGCAGAATTGACCAGGTATGTGACCGCATTTCTCTAGTCTCTAACACTCAAAAAAAAAAGTAAGCGTAAAAAGAACAAAGAAAAAAAAAGAACAGAGAAAAACAAAAAAAGAAAAAGAAAAAAAAAGAGGGGCAGAAAATACGAACGAACACAGGACAATCACCAACAAGGAATCGAATCCTCCAAGCTTCAAATCTTCAAACTCATCCCTGTCGTGTGCACACTAAGTCTCGCTGGTATGTACCCGTTCCCCACTTTTCTTGTTTAAGATTCATATTGGGGGCTCGTTGATTCTCATTCATCCCGTTTTGCAAATAGGTGTTTTGCGCAGTTGTTTCTCCGTAATTTAGTCGATTCTGGGTTGGAAACTATCTAAGGTAATGGGTAGAAGGAAATAGGACCACCATTGTTGAGATGGTCGTTTGAATCCTGAAGAAGAAGGCATTTGCGGTCCGCATAGTTGAAATGCGGTCCGCATTTTGGCTGCAAAACTAAACCCTAATCTCCCTGAAGAAGATGGTGAAATGTGGTGACTTTGCGATCGCATAATTGATATGCAGACCGCAAAGCCACCGCAGAGTGATACAGATTGCCCAGTTAAAAGCTTGCATTTTGCGGTCGTTCTCCGATCGCATTTCCCACTATGCGGTTGGTTATGCGATCGCATTGTGTGAATTATGTTTTGGGCAAGTCCATTCCGCGATGGTTATGCGATCTGCATAATGGTTATGCGATCGCATAACCCATTGCAGAATGAGAGCCATTTGAGACTAACAT